TTCCGGTGCTGTTGTTATAACTCAATTGTCATTGCAATTCCCTTCTCTTTTCATTTACTTCTATCTAGAACCATGCGTTTTCAAAGCAACATTATTATTATTATTTCCTCGGCTCCTTTTCCCAATTTTACATGGCGTTATGTTGCTTCATTAAGAGAATTATAGTTAGTGTTGGTTTTTCTGGCTCAAGAATTTTTCAATTCAGTAATGTGTCAAGATACATTACTCGTTTTTTTCAGGTTTATCCTTTCATAGTTCTACTTAATGCTGTGTTTGCTCTTTCTGAGAAGCTGAATATCATTTATACTTCATCAATGCTGTTTGCTTTATGCATAATTTTGCGTTGGAGACCTGAATTGTGTGTTTTGTGTACTTGAATTCTATGTTTTTTTTTTCACGTATGAGTTAATGAATTTTAACGTCATTGAGATTTAGTTAGGTAATTAATTTCATGGGCGTTCTATATTGTTGTGTAGCTGTTGGTGCACACTCGCTGACTTCCTATATTTGTGTTGGCTATCTCGCTGAGGAAAAACAAGAGTTTAATCATGTGCTGTTTCTAGGATAGCAGGGTCTGTTTGAGTGTTGGATTGAAAGGAAGGGGCAGTTTATTTCTAATAAATATCTTTGATTTGATTTCTTATGAGACTAACTTTTATGCATTTTCAGTTTAATTTCTTTTATACCGTTAACTACTAAATAATTGTTCATGGAACCTTCAGAATAATTAATATAAAACCGGACAAACTTACCATATACCACAATTTGTGATTGGAAGAAAGTGTAAAGTCCTTTTACATCACCACTCTTCAAAAAGTGGAAGAAAGAATAATTGTTGAATCTATATAGCCTATCATTAAGCCAAAATCTAAAACTAGTTCTAAAGTTTTTACTTAAGAGCATAATTTAATTCAATTGTGACTTGGCTTATCTACCTTCCGTCATAGGATAATTAATGTATCATGCAACCATTTCCCCCTCAGTAATATCTATCCGATGGGAAATCATGATGCTGGGAATTATATTTGAGATCTTGACTCTGATACTAATTGTTGGATCAAATGTTTATTATCAAACAGACAACTAAAACTAATTATCACCAGATAATTCTACTTTAGAGAATAGTAGACTAAACGTCACAATTTGATTGTGACATGGTCCCCCAAGCCTCTCCATGAGACAATTAATTAACCAATCAACAATAATAAATTGTTATAAACAATTACATCATTTTATCTGATTTTATTAAAATTAGATATATGTTTGGATAAAATTCTCTATAAACCATTTTAGATGAGAAAAATAAGAAGAAAAAATGGAACACAGTTCTCTATATGTTAAAATTTAGTATTTTAGATTACAGAGAAACTTTTTCATTTATATTTTCATTTTTTTATTCTAGAATTACTTAGGGAGAAATTTGTTCAAATATACTTCAAGTAACCCTCTTAATTTAAAAAGAAAGTAGTGTCCTTCATTGTCTCTTCTTCGGAAACTCTCCTTCCATAGATATTCTTTAAGATTTCATTGTGCTAATTTTTGAATATACTCCTAGTCTCTTCAAAAAATTTCCTCTTTGATCAAGTGGTGTGTGACTGCATATGTATTTTCCCCAACCTGTCATTAGTCTGAGCTGAACATATGTAAGATTTCTATGTTCATGAACCTGCAGTTTTGATGCTTCGTGAACAAGCTTCCTCTGCAGTTGCCTCTTGGTCCTCTAATTTTTCAGCCCAGAATTTCCCTGCCTCAGTTCTTTTACAAGAGCAGCGTGATGAATATAGGCCTCTTCTTCACATGTCTAAGGAAGACAAAACATCTCAGGTTCAAATTTTATTGATGCACTGACTCTATCAAATTCAGCTTCTTTTAATCCATATAGTGAAATCCTTAGTACTGTTTTAGTTGTGGACTAGTCAATAAGAGTTGATTGACGGTCCATTCTTGTTATGATCTCAGCAAATTAATTTTTTTTGTATGGATTCACAAACTCTTTTTTCAGGTTGTGATTAATAAGCTTTTCCTGCATTGTGACATATTGCACACAGTACCAATTAATCTTCCCAATGTTTTACTGCAGGCAATTTTAAATACAAGGCAGATGGATATGGACGCGGTTCATGAAGAGAATAACACTGGAAATGCTGACCAGGTAGTGCTGGACTTTAGGAAGCACCTGCATCTCTGGCCTCGTTTACAGAACTTGTAAGACACAAAATTATTCTTTCATATGTTAATTTAATCATTTAGTAATTTTTTATAGTAAGTTTTGGCCATCTTTAGTTGTCTCCTTATAGGTTCATAAGTGATCTATTGCAGATTAACTTCCTCCCAAACAGGAGAAATTGCTGCTTCTTCAACTCTACAGCATATTTCTGTTGACTCGGACAGACGGACAGATAGTGTGCAATGTAATGGAGTTTCTCTTGCTAAGAAAGCTTTGTCTACTGCAAAACAGGCATCCTTAGTTGTTGAAGGCCTGAAATCAACTAAAGCTGATGATGATTCAATTCCTTTTGGGTTAGTTCTATCTTGTTGGCCAGCTCTAACATTTGTAATTTATTTTTCCTGTTTATAGGCTATCTGTTTAAAGTGTAATGCCTAAACTAAAAGCTTCAATTCAGTCTGGCTTCCACTAGTTTGGCGGACCCATCAATTGGGAGAAATAAAACTGTGAGGTCAACTCGGCTTTTAGAGAGACGAGCAAAACAAAGAAAAGTACCTAAGTCCGTAGTTAAAGATGATGAAGCCTACGATACAAGAAAGGATGATTCTCAAGAAAGGCTACGCAAAGAAAAGAATATAAATGAAGAATTTGATCACAATGATACCCTACGCATGTTCTTGAGGGGTCCTGAAACAAAACAACTTTTGACACTTGAACAAGAATCTGAACTGATTTCTCAGATACAGGTGCTTTCCTAGTTCCCTTGAATTCCTTACCTAAACACATTTGATGATCTATTGACATGAAGTATGAAACAGGACTTATTGAAATTGGAAGAATTGAAGACCAGACTCCAATCTCAATTTGGTAGGGAACCAACTATGGCTGAATGGGCTGAGGGTGCGGGACTTAACTCTCGAAAGCTCCATGCTCAGCTTCATCATGGAAACAAAAGCAGAGAAAAGTTGATTCAAGCAAATTTACGCATGGTAGTCCATGTTGCCAAAAGTTATCAGGGACGTGGTCTCAGCCTTCAGGACTTATTACAGGTAGCCTTTCCAAAATTATAGACGTTCCTTCCCCTGTAGCAAAGGCTGTTTAGTGTTTACGTGGTTATATTATACATTGTGAATATCATTGAAGAAAATGGTTGGGTTGCCTAGTATTCCACCAATTAGTGAACCGTGATTTGTGACTTCTCTAAAATGTGAAAGAGATAAAATGGTTACAGATGTAGGGTATAGAAGGGGAACAAATGTTTTTTATTTGCCATTTTTTCATATTTAATGAACTCAATTTAATACATTCATCAACTGTTCTCAACATAGAAGAACCCAAAAAAACATGGTTGGCTAGGGTTGGAGCAAGAATGTGGGAAAAAAAAATCTCTGATTAAAGGGTTGTAACCACCATTTTCACTCTTCAGAATTGTCAATCACATTTAGCAGCTGTATCTTTTACATTTCTCTTCTTGTGCTGTTGCAGGAGGGTAGTATGGGCCTTATGAAGAGTGTTGAAAAATTCAATCCCCTAGCCGGTTCCCGATTTGGTAATTATGCATTCTGGTGGATAAGGCAAGCAATAAGGAAAGCGGTGTTTAGACATTCCAGGACAATCCGTCTGCCGGTACCTAAATTTTAAGCATCAACCTTTTGAAGAGTCATTTTCCATGAAATATTTTTTTTTCTTGACGATAAAAAAAAAGATGTTACCTACTACCATTGCATAAATATTTTTTATAGTCAAGCATCGATTTTATTTCTGTAACACACAAATCATGTGTTATCTCCAGGAGAAGGTATATATCCAATTGGGCAAGGTAATGGAAGCAAAGAAATTGTACATTCAGGAAGGAAATCTTCACCCAACTAAAGAAGAATTAGCAAGAAGGGTAGGAATTACAGTAGAAAAGATTGACAAATTACTATATTCTGCAAGAACTCCAATTTCTATGCAGAAAACTGTGTGGGCTGACCAAGATACAACTTTCCAGGTATTGCATGCTATCAGAAAATTGATGTGATTTCCCCCTTGATATCATGCAATTTATTAGATCTATAGTGTAACTGTGAGAAACAAGTCCTGAATCAATGTTTAGAATGCTTAGCGCAAAAAGGATTTAAAACAGCTTATAATCAGCCTCCAATTTTGTTTGGAGAGTTTTGCTTGTGCTGATAACGTAACGTAAAACCAAATTGGTGATAGTCTAATGATAACTACAAGAATATTGAATTTTGCCTAGTAATTGGATTCTGGTGTGCGTGATGAAAGGGGACCAGCAGTATAAAGTATTTTAGCTCTCGGAGGAGCTTGTACATCAGAATCTGGTCACAACATTTCGGTATGAGATTAGCCAAGGAGTCATAGCACAGTACCTTAATGGAAAGTTTAATTATTTCAATAGTAGTGATCAGAGTCAAGTTACTATTTTCTTTGTTCTGTTCAATTCATTACCAAGGTCACTTATATGTGATTTTGTTAACTTGTGACAATCATCACAATTTCCTTATATACTTATATGCATTAGCTGCTGTGCAATATGATTCCATCTCTGAATTTTTATATTATTTCCATATAGTTTTGGTATAGAATTTTGTAACAAAAATACTCAACACAACAAATTTAACCATATTATTTTTGTAATTGCAGGAGATTACTGCAGATCCCACAGTTGAGGCCACAGACTTGAGTGTTGAAAAACAGCTTATGAGGCGGCATGTGCTCAATGTCCTAACTATCTTGCGCCCCAAAGAAAGGAAAATAATCCGACTAAGATATGGTTTTGAAGATGGTGAACAGAAATCTTTATCAGAAATTGGAGACATATTTGGTTTGTCTAAGGAAAGGGTTCGTCAATTGGAGATCCGAGCATTATATAAGCTTAAGAAGTGCCTTGTCAAACAAGGACTTGATGCTTATGTAGACTTGCTTTTATAAGTAGACACCAAGGTTATGTAGTTTCATTTCACACGGCGCAGACTTTTTCTTGCAACGAGTTAAACAGTTGTGTGAGGATCCAACTTTTGAAGGCAAATTTGATGAACACTGTGATTGAGGTCAAATCAGAGAGGACTTTGATAGCAGTCAATNAAAGAGAATAAAATAAAAAAATATTTATTAAAGAAAAATAAAATTTTTAAAAAGTTGGAGGTGGAAAATAAGATGTTAAAAAGTTAAAAAAGAAATTTTTGAAAGTGTGTTGGAGGTGTAGGGTGAAACACCCTTTTATTTTTGGGCTGCAATGTTTTGTGGACGAACTTTTCTTTCTGAAACTCTTAATTGCAACTTGCACTTTTGTAAAGTAGTGAAATGATCAGTTTATCCTTGTTATTTTTAATTTTATCCTATCTTCTGCCTATACCCTCTTCCGGATTCTACAAAACCCAACAAACCCTCTTCCAAAAATACATTTTAAGCTGTTTATATGAAATACATATATATTTTAAAATACAAAATAAAAAATATATTTTAGATTACATAATTCATAATACAATTTTGTATTTTGAAATATGAAATCTTGTGTTTTCATTTTGTAGTCTGAATTATACATTCCAGAGTAAAACATTCCATAATACAAAAATACCGTATAATATTCCAAGAATTGAAACTGGAAATCCTAAATCATAAATAAATTTGAAATTTTTAAGTTTATGGAGGTGAATGTTGGAATTATAGGAGTGCAGGAAGAAATTACCTTTGGGGGCGAACCAAACGGAAAATCACCATAATACATTCACACAATAATAAAAATATTTTGTGAATTATCATGAGAAATAAAAAGGAGAACCTAATCCAGTGTCGGAAAAACAAAGAAATTCAGAGGTCCGAAATAGGCTACGTCTCTTGGGAAGGCTTTTCCACCTTCTTTATCCGTTTCTCTCTAAATATCACACTCCGCCATGGTGGCAAGGAAACAGCACCTGCGTTTCCTCTGCACAATGATCACGCTGCAACCTTCTTCTGCTACCAACTCACCACTCTAATGTACTATGCTGTTCTTCTCGTTCCTATGGAGTTCGCAAGGACTATGTTCTGTTCGTCTCCACCGTTTCCTTCAAGAACTCACCCTTGGAACACTCACTCTCCGTCCTCTTCTACTTCCGGTGCTGTTGTTATAACTCAATTGTCATTGCAATTCCCTTCTCTTTTCATTTACTTCTATCTAGAACCATGCGTTTTCAAAGCAACATTATTATTATTATTTCCTCGGCTCCTTTTCCCAATTTTACATGGCGTTATGTTGCTTCATTAAGAGAATTATAGTTAGTGTTGGTTTTTCTGGCTCAAGAATTTTTCAATTCAGTAATGTGTCAAGATACATTACTCGTTTTTTTCAGGTTTATCCTTTCATAGTTCTACTTAATGCTGTGTTTGCTCTTTCTGAGAAGCTGAATATCATTTATACTTCATCAATGCTGTTTGCTTTATGCATAATTTTGCGTTGGAGACCTGAATTGTGTGTTTTGTGTACTTGAATTCTATGTTTTTTTTTTCACGTATGAGTTAATGAATTTTAACGTCATTGAGATTTAGTTAGGTAATTAATTTCATGGGCGTTCTATATTGTTGTGTAGCTGTTGGTGCACACTCGCTGACTTCCTATATTTGTGTTGGCTATCTCGCTGAGGAAAAACAAGAGTTTAATCATGTGCTGTTTCTAGGATAGCAGGGTCTGTTTGAGTGTTGGATTGAAAGGAAGGGGCAGTTTATTTCTAATAAATATCTTTGATTTGATTTCTTATGAGACTAACTTTTATGCATTTTCAGTTTAATTTCTTTTATACCGTTAACTACTAAATAATTGTTCATGGAACCTTCAGAATAATTAATATAAAACCGGACAAACTTACCATATACCACAATTTGTGATTGGAAGAAAGTGTAAAGTCCTTTTACATCACCACTCTTCAAAAAGTGGAAGAAAGAATAATTGTTGAATCTATATAGCCTATCATTAAGCCAAAATCTAAAACTAGTTCTAAAGTTTTTACTTAAGAGCATAATTTAATTCAATTGTGACTTGGCTTATCTACCTTCCGTCATAGGATAATTAATGTATCATGCAACCATTTCCCCCTCAGTAATATCTATCCGATGGGAAATCATGATGCTGGGAATTATAGTTGAGATCTTGACTCTGATACTAATTGTTGGATCAAATGTTTATTATCAAACAGACAACTAAAACTAATTATCACCAGATAATTCTACTTTAGAGAATAGTAGACTAAACGTCACAATTTGATTGTGACATGGTCCCCCAAGCCTCTCCATGAGACAATTAATTAACCAATCAACAATAATAAATTGTTATAAACAATTACATCATTTTATCTGATTTTATTAAAATTAGATATATGTTTGGATAAAATTCTCTATAAACCATTTTAGATGAGAAAAATAAGAAGAAAAAATGGAACACAGTTCTCTATATGTTAAAATTTAGTATTTTAGATTACAGAGAAACTTTTTCATTTATATTTTCATTTTTTTATTCTAGAATTACTTAGGGAGAAATTTGTTCAAATATACTTCAAGTAACCCTCTTAATTTAAAAAGAAAGTAGTGTCCTTCATTGTCTCTTCTTCGGAAACTCTCCTTCCATAGATATTCTTTAAGATTTCATTGTGCTAATTTTTGAATATACTCCTAGTCTCTTCAAAAAATTTCCTCTTTGATCAAGTGGTGTGTGACTGCATATGTATTTTCCCCAACCTGTCATTAGTCTGAGCTGAACATATGTAAGATTTCTATGTTCATGAACCTGCAGTTTTGATGCTTCGTGAACAAGCTTCCTCTGCAGTTGCCTCTTGGTCCTCTAATTTTTCAGCCCAGAATTTCCCTGCCTCAGTTCTTTTACAAGAGCAGCGTGATGAATATAGGCCTCTTCTTCACATGTCTAAGGAAGACAAAACATCTCAGGTTCAAATTTTATTGATGCACTGACTCTATCAAATTCAGCTTCTTTTAATCCATATAGTGAAATCCTTAGTACTGTTTTAGTTGTGGACTAGTCAATAAGAGTTGATTGACGGTCCATTCTTGTTATGATCTCAGCAAATTAATTTTTTTTGTATGGATTCACAAACTCTTTTTTCAGGTTGTGATTAATAAGCTTTTCCTGCATTGTGACATATTGCACACAGTACCAATTAATCTTCCCAATGTTTTACTGCAGGCAATTTTAAATACAAGGCAGATGGATATGGACGCGGTTCATGAAGAGAATAACACTGGAAATGCTGACCAGGTAGTGCTGGACTTTAGGAAGCACCTGCATCTCTGGCCTCGTTTACAGAACTTGTAAGACACAAAATTATTCTTTCATATGTTAATTTAATCATTTAGTAATTTTTTATAGTAAGTTTTGGCCATCTTTAGTTGTCTCCTTATAGGTTCATAATTGATCTATTGCAGATTAACTTCCTCCCAAACAGGAGAAATTGCTGCTTCTTCAACTCTACAGCATATTTCTGTTGACTCGGACAGACGGACAGATAGTGTGCAATGTAATGGAGTTTCTCTTGCTAAGAAAGCTTTGTCTACTGCAAAACAGGCATCCTTAGTTGTTGAAGGCCTGAAATCAACTAAAGCTGATGATGATTCAATTCCTTTTGGGTTAGTTCTATCTTGTTGGCCAGCTCTAACATTTGTAATTTATTTTTCCTGTTTATAGGCTATCTGTTTAAAGTGTAATGCCTAAACTAAAAGCTTCAATTCAGTCTGGCTTCCACTAGTTTGGCGGACCCATCAATTGGTAGAAATAAAACTGTGAGGTCAACTCGGCTTTTAGAGAGACGAGCAAAACAAAGAAAAGTACCTAAGTCCGTAGTTAAAGATGATGAAGCCTACGATACAAGAAAGGATGATTCTCAAGAAAGGCTACGCAAAGAAAAGAATATAAATGAAGAATTTGATCACAATGATACCCTACGCATGTTCTTGAGGGGTCCTGAAACAAAACAACTTTTGACACTTGAACAAGAATCTGAACTGATTTCTCAGATACAGGTGCTTTCCTAGTTCCCTTGAATTCCTTACCTAAACACATTTGATGATCTATTGACATGAAGTATGAAACAGGACTTATTGAAATTGGAAGAATTGAAGACCAGACTCCAATCTCAATTTGGTAGGGAACCAACTATGGCTGAATGGGCTGAGGGTGCGGGACTTAACTCTCGAAAGCTCCATGCTCAGCTTCATCATGGAAACAAAAGCAGAGAAAAGTTGATTCAAGCAAATTTACGCATGGTAGTCCATGTTGCCAAAAGTTATCAGGGACGTGGTCTCAGCCTTCAGGACTTATTACAGGTAGCCTTTCCAAAATTATAGACGTTCCTTCCCCTGTAGCAAAGGCTGTTTAGTGTTTACGTGGTTATATTATACATTGTGAATATCATTGAAGAAAATGGTTGGGTTGCCTAGTATTCCACCAATTAGTGAACCGTGATTTGTGACTTCTCTAAAATGTGAAAGAGATAAAATGGTTACAGATGTAGGGTATAGAAGGGGAACAAATGTTTTTTTTTTGCCATTTTTTCATATTTAATGAACTCAATTTAATACATTCATCAACTGTTCTCAACATAGAAGAACCCAAAAAAACATGGTTGGCTAGGGTTGGAGCAAGAATGTGGGAAAAAAAAATCTCTGATTAAAGGGTTGTAACCACCATTTTCACTCTTCAGAATTGTCAATCACATTTAGCAGCTGTATCTTTTACATTTCTCTTCTTGTGCTGTTGCAGGAGGGTAGTATGGGCCTTATGAAGAGTGTTGAAAAATTCAATCCCCTAGCCGGTTCCCGATTTGGTAATTATGCATTCTGGTGGATAAGGCAAGCAATAAGGAAAGCGGTGTTTAGACATTCCAGGACAATCCGTCTGCCGGTACCTAAATTTTAAGCATCAACCTTTTGAAGAGTCATTTTCCATGAAATATTTTTTTTTCTTGACGATAAAAAAAAAGATGTTACCTACTACCATTGCATAAATATTTTTTATAGTCAAGCATCGATTTTATTTCTGTAACACACAAATCATGTGTTATCTCCAGGAGAAGGTATATATCCAATTGGGCAA